TTTCTTTTTATCTTTATTTTTTCATTTTAATTCTTCTACTTCTTTAAGATTAAGCTTGTATTACGAATTCAACTTGGAACTTGGATTGATTGTAAGTATTCATTTCTCTTATTTGATTCATGAATAATGATTATTTGAGAGGATTTATTATGATTGTTGAATTTGATATTCGTAGCTAAATATTATCGCTGGGTATAGGGGAATGATTATTCCGGTTTAATTTGTATCTCTCGGGCTTGAATTGTTCGTTCTTGTGTGGGTTGAGTTGATTTAGAATTGTTGAATTCCTGTTCGATAGATTGATACAATCGAAAAGTGACATTTCGATCTTTCTATTGCTGACAATTGGATGTTAATTTGTCGAGTTAGGGTTTGTCGATTCTATATGGTTAGTTGACTAATACTCTTCTAATTGATTGAGCGGCTTTTGAACCGAAAGGGGAGAAGTTGTAGACCTAGGCTTGCATGAGATAGATATTTTCGTAACTGAATAATCTATAGTTTTGAGTTGAAATACGCGCTTGTCGATGACCCGTCTCTTGTTACGAAAAGTTATTGGGATTGGGATAATTGGTCTGTGTCGTATGCTCGAGTTTGTTCGTCTATGTTCAATCCCTTGTTACGAAGAGTTATTGGGAGCGAGCCGCTAGATGTTTAAGCGAGAGCGTCAATCTAGAATAGAATGATTCATGTCCTGTTGTGCGAGTAGAACTTGAATTAATTATCCCCGACTCTCTAGTTTCTCCATCATTGTTTCGTCTGCATTTTTAGGTAGATTATTATTTTTATTTTATTTCTTAGTTAATAATTCATCCAAACTGCTATCTGATTAGAGTGTTTAGGATTTATTTTCTTTTTATGTGCTATCGATACAAGAACTAAATTCCGAACTGCCTTCCTCGTGAGATCGACCCGGGGAACGAATCTTTCGATTCGATACTCGGTAAAAAAAATAATTTGCTACAACATGCATAATTGTATATTTTCTTTGGACTACTATTCGATTCCTATTAGATTTAGTCTTTTTTTTCTTTTTTTTTTTCTTTTTCCATAGGCTTAGTGACACTCTCAGTAGGCCTATGTGTTCATCTTTTAGGAAGACAAGTAAAATATCGAAAAGCTTGTCTTGGGCACAATTCTTCTGTGTTAGAACTAAGCCGTTAGTGCGGTTTTTTCATAACTTATCGTGTTGAAGCAAGGCCATTAGCGCGTTTCTTCATAAACCTAGTATATTGGGTTGAGTAATGATCCTCCATAATTGTTTCACAATTAATGCCTCACTAAAAGCCCTTAGATTTTTTAAAGCATAAACCCCCACACTTTTTAATATTTTGCCATCTTGTCCCAACTAGACCAGTGAATTCTACCCTCTCCTGACTCCTTCAATCCCCACCAGAATCTAGCAATTTCACTACAAATATTCTTACAAACAACCACTGGTAAAGCAATACATATTATAAGTAGTAAGGGCACTAAAGACAGTTTTTATTAGAATTTCTTTTCGTGTCTCACTCAAAAACTTATTTTTTCGACATGTTCACTTTCTGCACTACCTCTTGGGAGTTTTTAGAGTCGTAGTGTTATGTCTGTGGTACTAGCGTATTACCCCGTTGAGGTCGGTTATAGGTGGGTTACAGACCTGTCCTCCGACTTTATTCTGCTGTTGGTTGCTTGTATTCAACTGTTGGTTGTTTATATTCAGCTTGTGGCTGTAATTTTGCACATTTGTGCATTTTTATATAATATTTCTATCGTTCCGAAAAAAATAAAAAAATGTAAATGGAATCCATTTAGTCTAAACATTTGGAGGTAGGTATGCCTTAATAAGAAAATCCAATAGTATATCACTTAATCAAAACGAACGTCAGACGACTTCAAAATTATCTCGAAAAAAGAACAACAATATTTTAGTTCATTTCAACTTTTAATGATAAATTGAACGGGCAACAAACTCCGACGAAACTAAATTTTTGCATGGACCCAATCAAAAATAGGATCCCGGTGGTAGTCAACCAACCTGAATGGACGTCGAGTGGCTCTAGAGTTTCGACGGACAATGAACAGTCGACCTAGAAAAAAAAAATTATAATGATAAAAAAAATCAATAATTCTAAAATAATCCAAAAAAAAGTAATTCATATACATTGTTGATAGTTTTAACAACCTATTTTACTTACTTTGATGAGGTTCAAATCAGGGGCGGATGCACATTGTAATTAAGGGGGGCTATTGTCCCCCCAAAACTTTGAATTATTTAATATGTATATATATGCATATGTAAGTATATTACTAATTTATATTCTTTACTATATAAATATATATTATAAGCATGTTCAATTAATACCTACACTTCATAATTATTACTAACTATTG